GAAAATATTCGTAGAAAAGACAGAGGGAAGTCACAGTATGTCCGTGAGAAAGTGACTCTAGACGAGATGCCAGATCAAGTCTTATAACATTGCGTATCCGTCTAAATTCAATCCTTAACACCTGACCCTAAACTCAGTGCTTATGCAGATATGCTTGTGTGTACCTTAAATGAGCACAATTACATGTAAGTCATTTACACACAGCACTGATATATGCACATACACCACGAACGCGTATAAAGTGCATAGGTATTTACATGAGAGACGCATACGCAATGTGACACGTGGACAATGCGTTATGGGCAGACAATCATTTTTTTATAATATAATTTATATAGTGACTGCAGTCAGTTCCAACTATTTCTCGACAGATCACACTTCTGTCCTGTTTATGTTCCAAACTCAGTCTGTATAGCTAAGCAGTTTACAGGCTTCATAACCTATTTGCTTTGTATGATAAATAGTAGACATAATACATATTAGACCAATGTTCAAGGTATATATGATATATCAAATGCACGCTCTCCAAAATCACTTTATGATAGCATAACACCGAACAAAAAATCCAGAACTTCAAAAAAGATGCATTGACCTTTGCATCAGTAAAACAGCGACTCCGATTTGATGTTAATAGCGATATATGTCTAAATACATTTACCTTGTTTGTTTAGCTGAGTAAAAATAAATTGCATATGGCGACCAGGTGCATAAGTTGAGATATATGCACAATAAATCATCTACCAATTAAGAATGAAATATCTTTCATTATTCTCGGTTCTTTATTTAATCAGTTTACATATTTTGTTGTTAGTAGAAAAATGTCATATATATACATACATATATATATACATACATACATACATATATATATATATATATATATATATATATATATATATATATATATATATAATGAAATGCGATAGAATACGTTGTTAATATTTTAATGTAATTTACATGAAAGATAGTAGATATAAAATTGTTAAAATAGTATTTGTAATATTTTGAATGATATGTATTTGCATTTATTCTGATATATATATATATATATGTGTGTGTGTAATATCTCACATTGAGTGCTAGTGCTATACATATAGCTCGATGTATAATAACAGAGCTAAAGTTTATATTGATGATGAACATGCATTTTACTATGTTTATATATTTTTATAAATATATACATCTCTCTCTCTCTCTATATATATATATATATATATGTATGTATTATCTATTATATGTTAAAAGTTTGTGTATATAAATACATACATATATATATATATATATATATATATATATATATATATATAATTATTTATATATATATATATATAATTATTTATATATTATATAGGCGGTACTTATTAGAAAGCGCTCAATATCAGAGATAGATTTGGTTGGATTGATTTGAGTTTGTGACCCTGAGTTTCACTCTTTTGCGATCGTCAGACAAAATGATTAATTTTTTTTTAAATTTAGGTTTATGTAGATTGCGTGTAATGGTGTTATTATTACGACGATCCCCCCCTACTGCCATAATAACACCGATACACGCAATCTACATAAATCCAAATAATTTTTATAATATGAATCACTACAAAGCTTCGGTGCATTTTATTCTGTTTTTGTCTATATGATAAAATTATAATAAATAATTATCGCTCTACTATCAGAATCGACCACCCTTTTGGATTAATGCTGTGAACGTTATAATTTATATATTACTTTCGTTCTCATTCCATCGATATATATATATATATATATATATATATATATATATATATATATATATATATATATTATAAGAGATTATGATAAAAGCATGTTGAAATCGCTACAGAAAAGATTTCATGTTAAAAACTTTATTATATATATATATATATATATATATATATATATATTATTGTAATAGCATAAAAACATGTCGAAATCGCTGCACAAAGATTTCAATATCTGTCTATATTTCTGAGATGAGGTATTATGTACACTATTTACATTATTCGGACTATTGTCCTCATCTTTGTCGCCATATTTATTACAACGTTTCGTCCTTTCAGTATCTGTCTATATTTTTGAGATGAGGTATTATGTACACTATTTACATTATTCGGACTATTGTCCTCATCTTTGTCGCCATATTTATTACAACGTTTCGTCCTTTCAGTATCTGTCTATATTTCTGAGATGAGGTATTATGTACACTATTTACATTATTCGGACTATTGTCCTCATCTTTGTCGCCATATTTATTACAACGTTTCGGCCTTTCAGCATCTGTCTATATTTCTGACATGAGGTATTATGTACACTATTTACATTATTCGGACTATTGTCCTGATCTTTGTCGCCATCTTTATTAGAACGTTTCTTCAGGTGGTTGGAATATCGAACCCTTTATTTCGCTCACTGGGGTAGACTGTTCTAGTTCCACGTGCCATGATTTTAATGGACGTCACTTATCAGTTATCTCCTGTTAATTCCCCTCTTCAAGTTCTCCACTGCCTTAACCAGGTATTGAACACTGTAACTAACGCCTTTATCCACTGTGCCATGTGTCCTTGAGGACATCTGTGTATGAATTTCTGGCTATTATAAACTTAATGTCTTCAACCCACGTTTATTACCAGTGCTCATATTGCAATTTTTACTGTTATCATTCATATTTTTACTAGAGCTCATATTGCAATTTTTGTTGTTTATTATCGCTTTTCTCTTTCTATTACTGGTTCCCATATTGTATTTATTTCTATGCTTGGTCGGCTCAGGAGATTTTTGTGTCCTAGAATATGTGCTGATTACTTAAGTTTACGAATTTTCCAATGGTGTTCTTTGTCAATGATCTCAACCTGATCCCACATAGGGCGGTGATCTCCCTTCTCTCTCCATATGTGGTCAGCCACGCCTGATTTTTTCAATTCCCCTGGTGTTAGAGATTTCTGGTGTACTTGAAGCCTTACCTTAATGGGGTGGCCTGTCTCCCCTTTATATTCCTTTCCGCAGCTGCACGGGATAGTGTACACACAGTCTTTAGTCATGTTCTCCTCTATGGGGGGGTCTTCCTCAGGAGAGATATCTGCGAAGTGTCGCCAAGCTTTTGAAGCTTGTCCTGATGTTATATGGACCGCAGATCCTTTGTATTTTCTCTGGTAACCCCTTCATATAAGTTAAGCAGACTGTTTTCGGAGTGTTGTTCTCCTCCTCTTGTATCTGCCTATGCCAGTTTTGTGGGGCTGCTGCCATGTACCCAGGTAGTTGTTACTTTGTAGGGTACTACTTATACTGACCAATTCTTTATCTAATATCTCTGGGTCGTCACTTATGACCTTTTCTCGGTGTTGTAAGCAGCGGACGATCCCTTTCTTGACGCTGTATGGATGGCCGGAGTTGAAATTAAGGTGCTGTCCTGTGAGTTTCGGTTTACAGTATATGGATGTCTTTAACCCATTCTCTGTTCGAGATATTAGAACATCCAGGAATGGGAGTGTTCTGTATCGTGAAATGTATTGAAGGTCTTATTGAGCCCACATGGTTTAGTTGAACCTGAATATCTTCCTGGTGTGGCAAGAGTATGAAGGTGTCATCTTCGTTTAATGTAGTTCATTCAAGGCCGTCTGCTCTATGACTTTAAGGTAAGCTTGCCCGCAGACGCTTCAAATCGCCGAATACGACAAGCATTGGTTCCATAATTTCAGTTTTGAGATCTGTCCCTCTATGATGAAGTTCTCATTTCCTAGATGATTAAGTCATAGAGGAGGTCTTTCCAAACGCTTCCTGATCTTTGATGAAGCGGTCAGATTTAACATGTACCGCATTGGGAAGCTGTACAAGTTAAGCAGCCCGCACACTGTCGGAGCCAACAAGCAATAACGAGTGACAGCCTGTTGCTTTCTCGGCTTCTATATCTGAACGATCGCTCTCCAGTGACGAAAAATGGGTCGTCTATGACATTCCTAAGCGTGTCAGACATTAGTTGTTACCACAGGACCCTTTTCCCCACACCCCAAGATCACCTCTACACCCACAAAAGATCATGCTCTGTATCTGGTGGACTAGTCGATAAATAGTGCAATACGAGCTGCTACCAACCGCCAAACCATCACAGCGTATCTGTATTCGCAGCACTTGGAACGTGTGTAACAGGTATCGAAGCAGAAGGGGCCAGTATTTGTTAATCTCAGGGGTGTACTGTTCCTCCATGACGATGTCAGGCCTTAAGTGGCGGAGCTAACCAGCGATATTATGCGGCGATTTGGCTGGGAACCTGTGATATCCATCTTACTCCCCGAACCTTGAACAAACAGATTAACATCTATTCTCAAGACAACATCGTGGGAAATTCTTCGCAAAAGAGGTAAACTTGCGACAGGCACTCATAGACTTCATTGCGTCCAAGACATCTAACATTATCACCAGGAGCTTGCACTGTTGGAGGCATGTTGGCAAAATGTTCTGGATACCGAGGTGGATTTCTTTTTTGTGGATTAACGGTATGTTAAATTTGCTGTATACTTTTTTTTTCTAACAAATCATAAACGACAAGTATGTTTATGGTTACCTTATAGATAGTTAGATATGAATAGACTAATAATATATATATATATATATATATATATATATATATATATATATATATATATATATATATATATTTATTAAAGACATTTTTATGTTTAACGTTATTTATAGATACAAGTATTTAAGCAAATGCTCTGTTTATGATAAACAGTATTAAATAACATTTACCGGCCTGAATGTCAGAAATTTTCATAGAAAATATTCGTTCTTTGACAGGATTTTCTATGAAAATTTCTCGGACATTCAGGCCGGTAAACCATTAATACTTTATCATAAACACATTTATCTATAAATATCTAACGTTAAACATAAAAAAAAATGTCTTTAATAAATAAATTGTCGGACCTTGTCCATTTCTTAATATATATATATATATATATATATATATATATATATATATATATATATATATAAAAAGAGAGGAAGACAGATAGATAGATAGATAGATAGATAGATAGATAGATAGATAGATAGATAGATAGATATGAATAGACTGAGATAGATATAAATAGACTGAAATTTTATATATATATATATATATATATATATATATATATATATATATATATATATATATAGATATATAGATAGATAGATAGATAGATAGCAGCGAACAGACTGATAACTAGATAAAGAGAGAGAATGTAGGTATTGCAAAGTAGAATAATTTATATTGTTGTTCCTACTATTTTCGATTACCTGGATTTCCCAAGTCCGCTTTTAAATGTTTACCAGAAGATCGTGGTTATGTCTTGACTTCGCAGATGAAAGTGAAAAATCCGAACTTTTAATCACTTGACCAGTTCCAAAACAATTAAAAATAAAGATGATGCTGATTGAAAACTGACCATTATAAAATCCAGATGCAAACATATAAATATAATTAAATACAAATCTACGCATCAATTATATATTTTCAAATATCATTCACCTATCCACATATACAAATATATAAGTATATACATCAACATTTACATAAATATACGTAGGTACATACTGTTATTACAGTTTATATCTACATATTAATATGCATGTACACATCTACATACAGATAAAGACACTGTTTTATTACCGCCAACACTTATTGTGGGATACTTCACACATATTTACAGGTTGCAATGGGTAAATTGTTGCCATATTATATTTTAATTGCGCGCATGCGTGTTGTTTATTTTTTATTTTGTCGACTGTACTGTATAGTAGGTTCAGTTGGGTACCATCTGTGAGAAAACAAAACAGCACCATAACGCAATTCCCTCTGCCAGACATTTGGAAACGGCATAATATACTGATTGGCATTCGCACCGGAAGTTCCAATACGAACATTTAACAGTGCTTGGGTTTATTATGAGGACAGTACAAAGGATTCAGAAAGAGTTAGATGAGTCTAATGGTGTTTATGAAGGTACGACAGCTCGAAAAACTCGCTTTGATTGTTCTGAGTCCAGAATTTTTGGTTTAGGGCATCAAAATCTACACGGATGTTTACGGCAAGTGACCTGAAGATGTAATACTGCCCTGGATCAAGGACTCTGTACCAGGCCACAAAAACAAGAGAACGTAGTTTTGGCTGTTTGATAATTTCTGCGACCACATAACCCCTTACATCTGGCCACCTAACTCCCCAGACTGCAACCCCTTTGATTATTATGCGTGGGGTACAGTTTAACGAGAGACCCCTAAAACTCCTTGTAACACCAAAGATGAACTGAAGGCAAGGATTATGGCAGCATTGAACAACTTAAACAAGAAGACCGTTTAGAAGAGTTCCAGAGATTTCGAATTTGTCTTGGGCTGTGGTTGAAGCGAATGGCGATTGTATTGAATAAATTTACTGTTGTGGATTCCAAGATGAAATTCGGTCTCCAATGAATGACAAACGTAAGAATTAAAGATAAGAAATAAAATGTATTTACACAATAATACAATGGGTAATACTGTTAGTAAATCCAGAAATGCGGTTAGTAGCAATAACATATAGATATATACAGTCTCGAAGTAGGACTTCCTTAGAGTCTTCGTGCTTGTAACTGACTTCTACAAGCGCTTACCTCACACTATTACTCGACCTCCAACTCAATCACAATCTCAGTCTTCTTACTCTCTCAATCTCACTCTCTGACTGATTGTCTAACTCTGGGTATTTAACGACAGCAGTCCAAGTAACACTGGTAGAGTCCACTTATATGAAAAAGGGGAGGACCCCATAACATATACTCTTTAGTATTTTAAGATATTTTTGTGTAATTTTGTTAAGTATATCTGTTAAAGTGAGATGTGAGTTTTATTTTAATTTTTGACAATTTCTCCATCGTACTTTAGTAACGCCCGTTTTCGTCAAAATTCAGTCCTTTTGGGGTGAAACTGGACTGACCTTTCAAGATTTGCAGGCCCGGACGATGGTAAATGCAGGAAGTGTTCTGCCCAAATTATATGCTTCCGCCCTCTCGGTCGTACTGACAATATTCAAAGAAGTACAGGGCGTAATATTTGGGATTGGCTTGGCTTCAGGAGTTGCAATAAATTTGACCGCGTTCACAAATAACCGCCTGTAGGGCTCCACTCCGTGTTTTCGGTCTTAATTCACTTCCATGTTTGAATATAACCATTAGGCAGCAACGGTTTAAAATCAGGGTTTTCCTCTCCCGAGATGGAACTACTTTTCTAACGTTCTTATTTCAAAGTGAGGTGACACGTTTTTTTCTAAAAAAAAAATAGCTGATTTTATGTTTGCCTGACAAAATATTGCTTAAAAGTAATATAATAATTTAATATAATTCGAAATTATTATTTCTTTTTATTTTATTTATTATATGTAACATGATTAATAAATTTATTGACAGTTATATATATATATATATATATATATATATATATATATATATATATATATATATATATATATATATATATATATATATAACTGTGTGTGTTCTGTCTATTTATTTTTGGTGTCAGTTTTGGAGGACGAGAGAAAATCGGCGTGTTGATATATATTTCTTTTATTCCAAGTACTTTCTATGACATAGCGCAGTAAGAATTACCCTGATGATGACCCGTCCTGGGTATGATGATAAACTATATCCGCGTCCTGGGTAAGACGATAAACTAAGTCCAACAGCAAGGCCTCTTATCAGAAGGTTTTGAGGAGCGTGGAACCACTTATTAATTGCTGTTGTTCCCAGCACCTGGGGTGGTAGCACCTGTTAGGGTCCCACCTATGGGCAAATAGTTAACCCAGAAACTGGCGTAAAAACATTATAAAAGTTCAAAATTGGTTTTAATACCAGAAATACTTTGCAAAAAAAAATTATTACCAGCAATAAATTTTTGAAAGAGAAAAAATATTACCAACAATGTTTTTGAAGAAAAAATATTACCAACTATACAATTTTTTGGGAAAAAATATTACCAGAAATAGATTTTTGACAAAACAAAATATTACCAGCAATAAAAAATTTTTCCGTATTAAATAACCCATTGAGGTTGATATGCCGTAAAACAAACCAAACCAAACCAAATCTGATGATGACATTTACTTTGTCGAAAGTACTCGGAATAAAAGAAATATGTATCAACATGGGGATTTTCTCTCGTCTTTCAATAACGACACCAAAAAGCTTATCGGTGAATATGAAAGGATCCAATTGAAAATTAGTAGACTGAACATGTCTAAATTATTCAACGAAACATATCTGAACGAAAACATGCTGCCAAAAGATCGCATATATATATATATATATATATATATATATATATATATATATATATAATGTATGTACATAAATATATATATATATATATATATATATATATATATATATATATGCAATTTTTTATATATATTATTTATATATTATATATGCGCGGTCTTATTGGAAAGCGCTAAATATCACTGAGAGAGCTGACATGTTTAGCTAGATTTATGTGAGTTTGTGACCATGGGTTTCACGCTATTTGAGATCGTCAGAATAACTAACGATCGCAAATAGCTTGAAACCTAGGTCATAAACTCACATCAATCCAACGAAATATATATATATATATATATATATATATATATATATATATATATATATATATATTGTGTAATTAGGCTTTTTAGTTTTTTTTGTTTTTTTTTTATGTGTTCGAACAAGTGTTTTTCTTTTTAGAACTTTGTAGAAACTGTTACAATTTTCTATAATTACTGCTCGGAATTACAGAACATTTAGACATTTTATACATACTCTGTCTCCAAAAAAGAAAACATTGTTCAAACAAAAGAAAAATTAGATAAAAAGCTTAATTGTATTACCTTATCTGACGATTTTGATGAAATATGCATACATAAATATATATATATATATATTACCATTATTATTATTATTATTATTATTATTATTATTATTATTATTATTATTATTTTCTAATATTTCTGCATTTACCTTTTTTCCTGAATTAGTATTTATTTGTTTTTGTACAACTAACCAGGAGATCGGTTGCCTTATTTTTACTTTGTTCTTGCTAATCTAACGTTATATTTATCAACCTTGCATTTTTTTTTTACTCTCGTTCATTTTTTATCAATTCATAATTTAGACGTGAGTACAGTCAAAAAGGTACTATATATTATTTTATTTAATGTTATAAATAATGACTTCATAATCTCCGAATATTTAAGGCTTAAATCCTGATTCCAAAGTTTGTCATAGCCAGTGTTGACAGTGGGGACAAGCGCCACCTGCCTATAAAAGTACAACTATTTTAGCGAATGGTACCTCATAATCAGATCTTTTGGGTACATGGATCTTGAATGTCCAGGAATATCCACACACGCACACACACACACACACACACACATATATATATTTATTAAAGACATTTTTATGTTTAACGTTCTTTTTTATAGATACAAGTATTTAAGTAAATGCATTTACTTAAATACTTGTATCTATAAAAAGAACGTTAAACATAAAATGTCTTTAATAAATAAATTGTCGGACTTTTTGTCCATTTCTTTTATATATATATATATATATATATATATATATATATATATATATATATATATATATATATATATATAAGCAGCAAAGTAGTGTAGTGTAATGTTTCGAAATTACTATTTCTGAGTGAAGGTATTAATAAAACAGTGAGAGAGAGGGAGTGGAGAAGAGAGAATTATGGATAGAGAAGCGTGAAAGGCGACAGCAATAGGGATAAAAAGAGGAGAGGGAGATGGAAAGAGAGACAAAGAAACAGGAGCGAAATCGAAGAGGCGAGGAAAGACAGGTCATAGTGTGTTTGAAAGTGATAGAGAGAGATCGAGTGACCGTTGACAAGGAGAGAGAAAGACAGAAGGGGAAATAAAGATAGAAAAAAAAAGAGTAATCCAGCAATGACGGTTCTGCGGTGTGCAGAAGGATAATTAAGGCCGTAAAATGTGGGTGTGCTATTGCCAAAGAAATTATTGACATTTATCAATACAGAAGTCTCCACCGATTAAGCAGACGATGTATTTTGTTTGAAGACGCCACTTCGGATTACCAACACACAAACATAGAATGTCTCATATCGAGAATATTTCACATTGAACATGAAGAAAAATTAATTATTTTTAATAATATGTAGAAATCTCCACTTTTACCTGATGACGGTCGCGAGACCAGAAACACGTGTCGTAAAATTATGTAAAACAAAGCATATTTTTTTCTAAATAAATCCACATTACAACCAAAAACGTTTGCGGCACCTCTCTTCTCTTCTTTTTAATATACATACGTTTCTCTCGTTGGAACCACTACAACATATTTCTTTTTATATATATATATATATATATATATATATATATATATATATATATATATATATATATATATATATACATATGTTGAAGCTTGGATAAGCATGGAATAATAATAATACAACACAAAATGTACGTAAAAAAAATGTATTGAAACAAGGAAAAAGGTACACAATATTTACAGTTAGTTTTGGTATATTCTTGGGAAGACGGTTCCTGTAGAATGGGTTGACCTAATCGCAGTCGGGCAGAGTCTCTCGATTGGATATCTTCTTACTTCTCCCAACGTCTTCCGGTACCAACCTATATTTATATCGGTCGGTACTCCACTATGTAAATTAGGTGGATCGTACCAAAACAATATATAAGGCACTGACATCCATGGTTTGGACTTTTGATGCATGTCTGTGGACCTAGCTCGAGTACATAGGCAAAAAGGGAGACTAGCAGCAAGTTGAGAAAGGATAAAACACACTACAACGGTAATGATTTTTTTTAACATTGATCGATCGTCGCCTGACATGATTTTCGATCTGACAACCGCGATTGCAGCAAGACAATTGCAATATCACGTGACAGTTGAAATCAGTTTTCTGCGAGTAAGGTCCCCCCCCACTAACCAGCCGATCATCTCGCAGATAATGACACGACATTCTGCAAGCGGTGATTTAGACAGTTCTTAGATGAATGTGGCGTGCGGTTCCGACTGCGATGTGCATACGCGCCGACAAGAAAGGGGCATATCAGAGACATGCCACCATACTGTGAAGAGTATCACAGCACGGAAACAGTGCAGTCATGGAAGCAGTTTATTGGTACAATGCCAGACTCAAGGACGGTATGTCAACCTCTGCAGCAGCCATTATAAATACGTACAAAGTCCGATTGAAAAGGATCGACACCACAACTTCACCTGAAGATGTGTAATAAATGATATGGTAATTTACCCACGCACTCATGGACTCTCCCGGCTATAAATAGGAGCAGGTACTGCCTTTTACAGAGGGAAGTTTACAGCAGTCAGCTCTGACAGTCGGACCGTCTTGCTGTAACACTCTCGTTTCTATATATTTGTATTATTTTTACTGTTAATATATTTGTTTAACAAAATTCCTATCTTTGTGTCTTTATTTCTGTCCCTAACAAGGCCACAACATTACAGCTGAAGGAACGCACTGTTTGGGTAAAAAAAAGCAAGTGTAGGTCGAAATTAAGAATTGACCGTGTAACCGAGATTATAAACCTACAATCAGCGATTGCTGACGATACGATGTGAAAGACTTACGCCCGTGTCTTGCTTCAAGAGCAGAGGTGAGCAGCAGAAGTGAGACATTCTCTGAGAGCGATGGATTGCTTGAGCCGGGATCCAAGCGCGTGAGAGGCGTGGAACCAACCGCTAGCGTGCCATATCACTCCGAAGATCTTGATTCTGAATTCGACTCAAGCGCGTAAGTAACGGACCAAAGAGACTAGTTCCTCGTTAGGGATGGAATGATTGTGACGAAAATTCAATGCACCTACCAGAATGGAAAAAGTCCACGATGTTTCACATGCTCAGTCTACCATCTGCAATTTGCAAAAGGCGTATGCGCTGACTGACATACCTGATTATAACTAGCGAGAAACGGCCATGTAAATCCTAAACATACGCAGTCTACGACGTTGACGGCAGGGAGAGGAACTTTTGACTGGCGTCTAGATAACACCGTACGAACATAGACGGACAGAATGGAGAAAGAGAGATTGGTCGCATTTCATTGGATCGCCAGAGAAGAAGAAAAAACATGTTCGTATTACTGGGGTTAAAAGAAATCAAATTCTACCTGTTGTGATTTCTAATTTTTTTCTTTGCTCTCTTTTTCGTTTCGTTGTGCAAACGTTATTTTTTTTAATACAAGAAATACATATACATTTTATCTGCAAGGCCTTTTCCCTTCATGGCATAAGTAGAGATAGTTTCGCCCAACACCACACATTGTTACATAACTGAAATATTAATTAGATAACTCGAGTCAGGTTCTTAAATAGACCCGTCAGAGTGAAATCTTACTAGGGGTGTCATTCATGGCGCTAAATCCATTCAAACATATCTAAACAGTCTGCAGTATACAATCACTTTATTAGATCAATAGCTAAAAATGGCTTTGAGCGAACGTAGTCCATCCTTCTTCCAATATGTTGACTGGCGCTAAAGAATATTCTGTCAAATGACAGAAACCAAACCACTTGAGAAATTTCAGCAGGAATAACAGTTCAAATGGATAGCAATCGTAACCTGAAGAGAAAATAAGGACATAATCAAGGTATTGATATTCCACAGTACTCAAAACAAAAGGTTAGTAAGGAAACCCCCATCAATACTGAAAAAAAAACTATTGAACTTGAGAAACCGATTTTCTTGAAAAATTGTTTTAAGAGAAAGGTTTTATAAATTACAATGAAGTGTAGTGTTAGGTTGTTCGATCAAGGAATCTAAGGAAACGCTAAAAACAGATCAGTCCTTCAAAATTGCTTGATAGTGTCTCTCCTGCTACAAATGACCTTACTAACTTCAGATCTGTTAATAATTATGATCGCTTCATCAACTGAACTTCTTTTATTTAAAGAAAATCTGAAATAATCTCAAATCTCTTTGTACTTACCTATTCTAGGTTAAATCCTGTTCTGTTCGTAGAATGACGAATCTCTGACATTTCGTAAGAATTGATGAAGCCTTACGACCAACTTACGACAAACCTATATCCAGTATTTAGCCACCGACAGCGGAATTACGATTTAACAGGACAGAACAGGATATTAAAAAAATATTAAATCCGAACAAGAGCGACATCTTTCGCAAGGTATTTTTATTGTGAACATTTTGAAAAATGGAAGAATGAATATTTTATATTGTCTTTCCTGAACGTATTGAAATTAAGACGATGATGTTTTAATATTGCGTTTTGTGACCGAATTGAAATTAAAACAATTATGTTTTAATATTGTATTTCCTGAACGAATTGTAATTACGATAATTTTTTTTTAATATTGCGTTTTGTGACCGTATGCAGTTTTAAAACAATAATGTTTCCTGAACAAATTGAAATTAATACCATGTTTTAATATTGTTTTGTGAACGTATTGAAAATAAAACAGCGTTTAATATTGGGTATAAATTGACAACTATTTACACAAACAAAAAATATTCTAAATTAATTTAAAAAATAGATTTCACAATTTACAGCCTACCTTCGAAATAATAACAATTCAACACAATTTCCGTCCGGCATTCGAGTTAAACTGACACACAACATGAAATTTTAACTTCAGTTTAAAAAAAAACAAGCTTCGAGAAATTACCGACATATTTAATATACTAATATTTTCATAAGTTAAATAAATATGATTCTTTATTTTTCAAAATGATCTCCCGGAGCCACGATGCAATGCGTACCTTGTTATTTAAATAAAATACTCACTCAGCTTTTCTAGCCATCGGAGAGCAACTAAGCATATTAATCAATACAGTGACATTTTTTGAATCTATCAGCAAAAGACGAAAGGAAACAATCTCGGTATTTTTTTTCTTTTACATGGTAAACTCCTATCAAGATAACCGAATGCGGTAACGAGGCAAAAGAAAAAGATTAAACATCTTCCTAATGATCGGTTAGTTATTCGCCGGGTGTAGAATTCTGATTAACCATAACTTTGATCTTTCATATTCTCAGCCTCATTAGAAATTCGCTGAGTAGAAAAGCACGATTATCTCCCTTTGTATTAATTTTCTTTTCTTTTTCTTTTTCAGCACAGACAATTCTTTTAAATTTACTTGTCTGTGTTTTATTTATTTATTTGAATTTTTGCCTTAGAAATACATTGGAGAAAAGGGTGTCTAGTCGTAGGGCAATATTCAGGAATATAGTCCCGCTGTCACTGACGACTGTAATAATTTCGATTCTCCTTGGGGATACATAAGAGGGTGGGATGAAAAGCTAATATTAAAGAGTGATACTAATGTTGTGAAATCTTGCATAGATTAATTCCAACCCTTCTTAACCGTATTGTAAACTGACATCTGATTGTCCAAAGAAAACTGTAACTAGTAGCGACTTCTGTTTAAAAGGGACAAAATTTGGTATCATTGTGTTATCAAAAAAGAGGTTAGCTTCAAATACATTCATTCTGACATGTTTGCTACATTAGGGAAAGGCTCTCCAGCTTTAACAACAGTGCAAAAGTGGGCAGCTGAATTTAGGAGAGGAAGGGAGAGTCTTGAAGATGGCTCAAAGTCTGGACTTCCTGCAAAGGCCACCACAGAGGAAAACATTGAGGTCGTTTCATCTACAGGGAAGTTGATGGCCTCTGGAATGCAAAAGGCATTTTGCAGATAGTCAATAAACACAATGCCTTTTGCATTCCAGAGGCCATCAACTATTTTGCAGATAGTCAATAAACACAAGGGCCACACCATCAATGGAGAGTACTATGACATCTTGCTGAGGCAATTACTAAAGGCTATCCAATCCAAACGCCTAAGAAAACTGACAAAAGTAGTCTTGTTTCATCAGGACAATGCTCCAGTCATGGTTTCAATGGTTACTGTGTGTGACTGATTCGAACTGTTCTCCACATTTGGTCTCTACTTGATTATCATCTGTTCCCCAGCAAAAGTGGGCAGTTGAATTTAGGAGAGGAATGGAGAGTGTTTAAGATGACTCAAAATCGAGCGTTTTTCAAATCCAGTATTTCAAATGTTTATATTTTTAAAGTGAGAGAGGAGGCCACTTGAAAATCCGGAACAGTACAATCAAAATATCCTCCAATCCCTCATTTTTAATGGCCTTGTGGCATAATGTGGTATGCTTCGGGACATTTGAAGGATCAAAGTGAAAATAAAAATATTTACTAAGCCTCAGTATTATTCTATTTATATTCGGTCAATAAACTAACACACGCAAACACCCTACACGCACATAGTCACGAGCACAGGCGCAGGCACATTGCGTTGACACACGCACGCACGCGCATACACAACTGTTTGGTTTATTTTGTTTAACGACATATCAACCTTAATGGATTATTTAATGCCGACAACATTTTTAGGATAGATTCATATGAATAGAATATGTATTCTTTGATTTAGATTGGTTTGGTTTATTTTGTTTTACGGCATATCAACCTCAATGGGTTATTTAATGCCGACAACATTTTTAGGATAGATTCGTATGAATAGAATATGTATTCTTTGGTTTATATTGGTTTGGTTTATTTTCTTTTACGGCATATCAACCTCAATGGGTTATTTAATGCAGACAACATTTTTAGGATAGATTCGTATTAATAGAATATGTATTGGTTTATTTTGTTTAGCGGCATATCAACCTGAGTGGGTTATTTAACGCTGGTAATAATTTTTCAAGAAATATATTGTTGGTAATATATATATTTCCCCACCAAATATGTATTGCTGGTAATATTTTTTTTCTTCAAAAATTCATTGCTAATAATATTAATTTTTACAAAAAAGTCTTTCTGTATTAAAAGCTATGTTTACACTTTCATAGTATTTTGACCCCTGTTTGGGTTGGGTCAACTATTTGCCTATAGCTGGGACCCAAACAAGTGCCACCACTTCGGGTCAGGGGTGGCCCTGGGAACACCAGCAATTAAGAGGTGGATCCAATCTCCTCAAAACATGGGAGACCTTGCTGCTGTACATAGTTTATCGTCTTACCCAGATGTAAAGATGGACACGTGCACACACACACACACACACACACACACACATATATATATATATATATATATATATATATATATATATATATATATATATATATATATTGTTTATTTCAAACGTTATTATAGTGGATACTCGTATAGTTAAATTCACTTACTCGCAAATAACCTTGATATGAATCCGCCCCATCCCCCCAGACATGGGTTAAATGGTAGTACTTATATCAGGAAACATCATCGTTTTTTCTAAAAAAATGTTAAACTAATATTCCCTCGGTAAAAAATATCTTACAATCCAAGATATGTTTTGGCTATAAATGATCTACAAAGTTTTGATACGCCTTGAAGAATAAATAATTCTAAGAATGTTTGCCAACGAAGGTTGAAGATCTCATTCTGACAGTATTTAAACCATTTCTAGCGGTGGAGGATTTGGGCTCATGCCTTTTCCAAGGCTATTTTACGAGAAAGTGAATATAACGAAACGAGTTGTATTCGAACTTGGTTCTCTGCTTGTTTTGAGCCGATATCCAGCCGCAGATTCTTTTACAACCTGAACGTCCGCAAAATTAGTACCCCCCCTATTTATTTCGATAGAACCTACAATAAACACAGGGAACAGAATAACATAATTGGATAGAGCAAGTTTCAATTTCACGAATTTTTTTTTTTACTGTGCTCACATCCAGTGTTTGATTTCTGTATACGTCTCTGTATATGGTTTCTGTATACGTCCCTGTATACGTTTAGTAAGCCTTTATGAATATTAGTAGGTGAAAAATTAATGCAAGGAGAAAATCAATGATTCAAGTCAGACGCAATTTTCACTGATTTCCGCTATTTTACATTGAATAATAATACAAATGAAATTATGGGGTATTTTGGGAAAACGTTCTAATTCTTTGACCTAGCACAAACATTCGCCTCTGAAGATATAGGCCAATATAATAATATTAGAGGCATTACTACAGAGCAACGCTTGTGACTGTATTTCTGGACTCCTTCCAGATCTTCATTCTTTTAACCGTCTTTTGATCGTTATTTTTGAACATTATATTTATTCTT